AATCAATCTATGAGCAAGTTTGCTAGTATATTGAATCTCACCCCTAGAATAGAGCAGTCTGAGGGAAAAACGCAATCATTGATGACGAAAGGGCGTCAGAGAGGTGGATATCGAGAAGGCTCTATGGTGTCTAGTGATGCATATAGACCTAGTGAGTGTAACAGGTTTCGTAGTACATCCTCAACAGATAAGTTACAAGCTGCAAGACAAACACGGTTGTGTTTTACACGTTTGCAAGAGGTGCGTAAAAAGGTGAGCTGTGAATCAGTGAGCAAGTTAAGTGGTAAGCTAAATGTGAAATTGGGGTCTGACCCCAAATTGTGTGGCGACAACGGTGTGGTCAAGAAGTCTGTAGTTGCAACTGGTAAGCCATAGTTTAATAGAGTGTCACGGAGGAGAGTTACAGTTTCAGAGTCCAGTTCTGACTCCACAAGTTGGAATAAAGGATTCTCGATTCGCCAATCGGTATTTTTATTTTGTCGTTCGTTAGTACTAAGCGTTTCTGAAAGGCTTCAAGGGACAGCGAGAGGCCTGGCGTAGCAAGAACTGGGTATTAACGGTTTTTGAGACTTGATTAACAACACTGTTGACCGGAAGTGTATCCACTCACTGGTCAGATTTCACACTTTTAATGAAGTTTTAAGTATTATTGACGTTTCATTCCCAGCTTTATCTAGGTAATTCAGCAACCGAAAAACCTTCCTCGGGGATATAACGAATTGACCCGTAATCGCTAAGCTGTGTTACTTCAATGTGGATCTATAAATTTAGTTTCGGCTGTGCAGAGAGCTATATATGGCGAACAACTGGACAGCTTAACAAACGCATTGACGAGCATCTTCCTTCATGGTTCGGAAAAAGTCAAATAAAATCCATACGAAGTTCTATTTTGGCTCATTTGATTGATAGCAGTCACAAAGTGGACAAAAGTAGTGCCTTCAAAGTTATCTATCGCATTACATTGAGTCTTTCGAACAGAATCAGAACCCATCTTTTACACTTAGCCGAAGCTACGGGAATTCGAGAGAACATTGCTAGTCTTTACATACAAAAGAAATTTGTTCCACCTTTGTCTCTCCCTTGCTTGGCCTCGGTGAATTCTATTCAAAACCCTCCCACCCTTTCTTATTTTCCATCTCCTTCGTATTTTTATGATATCTATTTAAACTCTAAATATATGTCTACTTCACCTTTCAAGATTTGACCTAATTTATTCATTTATTGGATTGTCTACATATGCACATCTATACAAATACTATCTTCGTTATTATCACCTGCATAATTCTTGTTATCAATATTTCCTTATCACTATAATCGTCGATATTAATTTTGTTCAAAACCTTTACCACATTATTATTATTTGATCCACAAAATCACCGTCGTTGGTTAAAAATTTGTATATATAAATCTATGTAAATTAGAGTAAAGCCTGAAGAAGATCCAACTGAAAACAATATTGTTCGCCTATATGTCTTGTTCTAATATTATAAATGGGGATATTTAAACATTGTAAATAAGCCGCGGAATCTTTAGACATGTGCAGCGCCACTATAGTCTGCGACATTAATGCAGTGTTTCTTGACATATGGTGTCTAAAATTTATCACCCTTAACGTCTGAATCATACTGAACTGCTCTCATCACCCAGAAATCTAAACTGATGTCTAGCCCATAACCAGCCGGTTTCGTTGGTCTGGTACAAATGAGGAAGTGGGGCACTGGGTCAAAAGTGAGGAATAACAAAACACATCAAAGCCCTTATCAGTAAAAGTATCAGGAAAAGTTACTGTAGCCACGGGACAACTCTCCAGAACTCAGAATACGTACGTAATAGTCAACTTGATTTCAACGCAAGCGGTAAAAGAAGACGAACGTATGTCGAAGATTTATTGATCGACCAAGTATAAGTCAATATAGTGAGTTAATTACACAGCAACTTGACCCTATGATTAACAGCTGGCCACTATCAGTACACAAAGTCAACGAATTGCGTCAGTATAATATACATTGATACTTCTGATAGTTTTGCTCTGGTCTTCTGTCAATGAGCAAAAGTCTAAGCCCGAAACGGATTGTTGCCTCCAGCGAACAAGAAACTTGTTTGAATAAAAGGTTTACTGAACGTTCACTCTATGTTTGCCATCACTGACAGCTCCTTGGCACTTTTATTACCTTACGTGCCCATTTTGACCACGCTCATATAGATCTAGTCGAAAGTCTCCTAGCGTCTCATGGGTGTAGACACGCATCAACCCTCACCGGCCGTTATATTCGATGCCCCAAGATATTACCAAGAAATAGTCACACGCGATTTTGCGGTGAGGTGGTCACAAAGTTTTTGGAGGGCAGTCCTCCATGATTCGAAAGCGAGAGTTTCAGAACAACAGCCTATCACGTTCAAGTAAATGATATGGTAGAACATTCTCATTTAAGGACTGGGCTAGCAGCCGCAAGCAATTCACTTTGGACTGATTCACTAAGCTTACTTTTCGGCGTACGAAACATGTTAAAACCAGGTGCTGGTGACTCTGCCAACACATGGAGCAAAACTATGACTTCCAAGGCGAAGCTATTTCGACCTCCAGTTTCTTGTTAGCCACAGATCATGCCACCAATGTCATCTGGCTTAGTTAAGCTAGCCACCGTCCGTCTATAAACGTTTTCCCTCATCCATGTCCAAGAACTTTTCACGTGTATTTTGTCGTGATACTGCATAACGCCCACCCTGTTGCCCGTATATTGAACCATACAAAGTCATTAAAGGCACCGAAAAAGTTCTTCGCTCTAGACAAAAAAGGCCATGGAGACTGTTTTACTAGCAATCATCTGAAACCGGCCTACTTAGGGGGGAATCCGGTGAGACCTGAATCGGTTGTTACTTTAGAGGCTGACGGTATTAACGTCCACGGATAGTACGAAGTATACTAAGCATGATCTAATACCCACAACTTCTATAACGTTGATTCCGCGTACACCAAAGGCGAAGCAAAACACTACAATTGACCGTTCAAATTACGAGATATATTTCGGGACCAAATCGGACGCGAAATGATTGCTTAGTTAACTAGGGATCGGGCACGAACGAACGAACGTGACACGGCAGCGTACCGAATGGCGTGTATGCTTGACCGGAAGCCTTCAGCTAAACAAGTCAACTTAAACAGTGAGGGTCAGAATCAAATGTTCAGTGATGAGTGCTATGGCCAATAATTTTGAGGAATTACTTACCGCTACATTTCCAATGACACACAGCTGAGTGAATACACACTACCCTTCGAAGAGAAAACAAGCACTGAAAAGGCGACTGTAGCCTCTGACGAGGCTCGAAAGGCAGCAAGTTCCGCGAGGTTACCGGGGCACCTGAATACTTGTCTTTCTGGATTAGATGAAAGTGTCCCATTTTTCGAAGAAGTAATGTATTGTGCTTACGGCAATTTCTTCTATGCATACAGGTTATCTTTCACTCCTTAGTGCATCAAAAATTAAGTGCATTTTTTGTGACAGCATGTGTAACATGACAACTGCTTAGAAAGTTCTTCATTCCCACTTCACCAACATATCTAGGTATATGGAATGGTTGGAGGAGTTATGGCCATTATCTGGAAAATAAAAAAGCAGAACTGCTAATGTGACTGAAACTAAGAAAACGTAGTAAAACACAGTAAGTTTTAATTTCACGATCGTGTTCATTTGTCTCTTCCTACTCAATCAACTCAGTCTCATTTCTGACTGTTTGAAGCTGAAAGGTAGTATGAAATCTTAATTGTCCCCACGTTCAGTAAATTTCCTTACTATTTAAGAGAATATATGCCATAATGGCTCTCCACTGTGACCTGTCATTTCGATGAAAGGTAATCGTCCTGTTTTCGTAGTGAAGGCAACTATTCCTCTTCGTTTCCACATCTTCCTTGTTCTGAATGTGATCTAGTAAAGCATTTCCTTTGAAAAATCCATAAGGCAATGTAAAATAACGCAAAAACGATAATTCGAGGTCGTCGGATTTCTATATTAGTCAGTTGACTATGCCTGTATCCATTGCGAAAATGTATGTCAGTTTGTTAGGAGGGCTTCATTTTTTTGTTACATTGATTAAGCTTTTTTTTACCCATATTGATAACTTTAACCCGAAGGTCATTTTTGTCAACGGTTATCACGTTATTCGCCACACTTGTTTTGGCGCCGTGACTGTTCAGTTCACGAGAGGTTGCGGAGTTATCATGTCCCTAACATATGTTAGTCCCCTTTCTATTCAGATTATGGTTAAGGAGCTTCATTCCAGGTTATCTATCTCATGCTATCTATCTTCTGGTGTTAGTATTTTGTTGTTGGTACTATTGGCTTTTCTCCAAAATATCACCTATAACCCACCGTGGTTTTGGGTTACAGGTACAACAGATTTTTTCAATCAATAGCCTGACCCTAGATACATTTTTTGATGTATTCTTTACGTCCAAAATCGTATGGATAATGTGCAACTGCTTGATTACCTACGCTGTCACTCACATGTTCCGATCCAGGTTATCAGGTATAGTTACTTATTGCAGTAACTCTTCAGTAACGGACCGTATCGTTTCGAGAACTTTTCAGATTTTCGGTTCATTTCTGACGTGGTGTGACCTTAAAATACTCGCCTCAAGCTCTATCCTGGGTGCTTTGAACAGTCTAGTCCTGGCGAAGATTTTGGCCGATGAAGAATATTCATCTTTTTTTGAATACAACAATTTGTAATGTCATCCTCATAATCCTTAAGTGTGTTTAGCCCATCGATTAATCCGCGACTGCATATACTCACGTATTGTGGAGCGTTTATGGGTCTAGTATTTTGTTTTACCGTTTTGATTCTCAATAAACTCACACTAAACTACTGTCATCCAGCAGTAAGTTCAAAATACTGTTATTTTTTATACAACAGGAAGCGTATTCTCCATTGCGAAAGATCATGTGATGACACGTGTCTTCACAACTGTTGGTAGGATGCTGTACTTCATACTATTGTGTGCAATGTGCCCTAACCATATTCTTGGCTCTTCACAGAAGTGAGTAAAGTTGTTGCTAAAACAGTTTATATAAAAGTGTGTCCTTCTTTTGGATAGTTGTAGACAAACAACTACTCCTGTTAATGTTTTTGACTACCTTCCACCTGCATTTCTGTTGGAGTTGTGCGATTGACATCTTGAAATCACAGTTTTTGAAGGTAATTACATTTTCTTAATTAAACTTTTCAGCCTGTTGACATCCCTTTGTTATCTGTTATCCAACCTCTCATTCTGTTCAGGGGATCCTAAGTAACTCCAGTAATACAATAGAACAAGTAAGGTTACTTCCATGTAAATAACTTTGTAGCACTTGGTTTTTGAAAGATTGGCCGACCTGGTGGCTACCAGTCAATCCGTCAGATCATCCATATTTTCCCTCAGTCATATAGGTACGTCTATTATAACGTTGCTATTAACCCCAGAAGCATTTAAGGTTTACAGTCCTAATTATATTTGTTTTATGAGTGGATTCGTATCTAATAAGCAGCTAGGCTGAATACGTATATATATATATATATATATATATATTGTTTCGTCGAGCGTACTTCTACTAAATGCGAGTTACAGATACGACTATAATTTAAACCAGCGTAAAGGTTACAAAGGATAATTGATAAGATCCTGAGAGACAATTTTGGTAATATTTAGACTTCATCATTGTCAGTCACACAGCTCTCCTCTGACTGAAACCTTTTATTTCACTGTTGGTGAGTGGGTAATTTATGGGAAATGTTTTTAACAAACTGATTCTCCTAAATACTGCGCTGAGATGTCGTCCAGAAAGACGATGAAAGCTCCGCAATTAAACAAGGAGCTCAGAGAACACTATCAATTGCAAATCATCTACCTGAGTTACAAATCTTTTCTATTATTTCATTTCATTCCATTATCAGGCGTGAGGCTAGCAACCCCACCCTGTAGACAAAAAACTTCTACAGAAAGTTCAGTACGATGAGCCTCCGTGTGACAAAAGAAAATGACTGCGGAGACATGGAACGTCCGCACTATATGTGAAAGTGGCAAAGCTGCCCAGATTGCGAACGAGATGAAAGATACGGAATTCAAGTATTGGGAATATGCGAAAGCAGGTGGAAAGGGGGTGGACTGAAAAAATTGTGGAACAGAGAGTCAGTGATCTACTCTAGTCACCCAGAAGATAATCACGAGCACAAAGACGGTGTGGTTATCCTGATGTTAACAACTGCAAGGAAGGCCTTGATACAATAGGAGGCGAACTTTCCCAGGATAATGACCGCCAGATTCAACTCAAAATGAAGGAAAGTGAAAATTATACAATGTTATGCATCCACAAACAATGCAGACCTCGAAAAGAAAAAAGAGTTCTACAGGCAACAATAGACCAAACTGAACGATCAGGACCCAAAGGACATCTTTACTGAAATCATAAGGAAAAAGGCGGAGACACAAATCAACAGTAGCGAAGAGACCAGTGTTAAAAAATACTGGAACAACCTGAAAGCGGTATGGAGTCAAACCTGCATGGAAGTTCTAGGTAGAAATAAGAGACAGGGAAAACAGTAGCTCACTACGAACACATGGAGACTAACAGAAGAGAGAAGGACGTTGAAACAAAAGATTATCCAGTGCATCGACGAGCAACAAAAACAGGAGTTGCATGCAAGCTACAACACACTGAACAAAAGAGTAAAGAAGAGTGTCAGGGAAGACAAAGGAAAATATTATGAAGCCATGGAAAGTGAAGCAGAACAAGCTGCAGGCAAAGGAGACCTCGAAACACTCTACCAAACAACTAGGCACCTATCAAGTGAAAGTTCGACACAAATCAAGCCAGTAAAGGATGACAATGGAAAGTCAATCACCAAAGAGGTGGAGCGAAGAAAATACTGGGCTGAACACTTCAAAAGACTTCTACTACGGGGTGCACCGACAATTATACACCTCACCCAGCAGTTGTACGACAACGCTGCATGCCAAGTAATCCACAACGGGAAACTCATGGAATCCTTCGAAGTGAAGACATGTGTAAGACAAGCTGGTTACCTACCATCTGTAATGATTTTTCTGATTGTGGTGGAGTGGATAATGTAACAGACAGCGGTCAACGAGGAAACAAGTATAAAATAGACCCACACGGAAGAAGAAACTGGGTGATCTGGACTTCGACGATGATACATGTCGATTTTCCCACAAACTGGAATATATGCAAGTGAGAAGAAACAAGTTGGCAGGAGAAGCATCAAAGATAGACTTCCTTCAGGTGAACAAAGAGAAAACAGAGGTGATGAAGATTCCTGGCCAACAGAAACAACAGCAAATAACAATCAGTACACATGGGAGGAATCCGAAAGAAGTAACCTCCTACCTACCTGGGAAGCATTCTTTCAACTACAGGTGGGACTCACGAGGATATCATCAAAGCGAGGAATGGGAAATCAAAGCAAGCTTTCATTTCTCTCAATTCTGTGTGGAGGTCAACAGCGCCGCTCAGCATGAGAAACAAGATCCGGATTTTCAGTTCCAGTGTGAAGTCAGTGCTACTTATCATACGGATCAGAGACTTGGTGCCGCGTCACGAAGGCCACTTCGAACAAACTACACACCCTCATCAACATCTGTATTCGCTTAACACTCAAGGTCAGATGGCTGGCCAGAGAAGATCAGCGGCAGTGTGAGGGATCTCTGGCAGTCAACGAACCAACCAACCCAACAGGCAGTAACTGTGCAACAAATATGCAGGAGGAAATAGAGATGGATTAGATTGGCCATTCTCTGAGAAAACAAACCATCAAGCGAGTAACATCACACGTCAAGCTCTCTCTCTCTCTCGAGTGGAACTCGAATGGGAAGCGGCGATTTGGTCGTCAGTGCGAGTGACGAAGAGCACGTCATGAGAAGGGGAGGTGGAAGCCTGTGGGCAGACGTGTAGCCGGGTGAACACGTTGACGAAGAACCGAGCGCAGTGGAGACGTTCAGCTAAAGCTCTATGTTCCTCTAGGAATTAAAGGAAACAGTAACCGTTAATAAGTCCTTCAGTCATCTGGGAGCGAAGTACATAAATTGTTTTATTGCAACCTTGCATTTGTTGTGCCGTTTTATAAACGTGTTCGTCTATTTGTTCATCAGTCACCTAGTCAACACCTTTACGCTTGAATTTTACCAGATAATAATGAATAATTTGACATTTTTTGTTTTTGTTGATTAGGTGGTCGGCCTGTAATATGGAAACAAATAAGCAACTTATGTATCCACTTAATTGATCAGTTTGTGACGAACGTTCAAATGGCAAATAATTGTGGGATTAACAACTTGGGTACACGTGAGTTTGACTAATTGATAACATTTTTACAATATGCTTAGCCATTAGTAGTCTACAAAGGATGGGTGGATTAAAATGAAAATTTTTGAAAAAAATAATACATTTAACAGTTTTCCGTCAGACTGACAAACAAATTCATCATGTATGTCTCAAATTTTTTTCATCAGTCAACCAACATGTAGTCAATGGAGCTTTGACGGGAATCACGGACGAATTCACTCCTTGGCTATAAAATATAAGCGCCCGCAGACCGACGCTGCAAAATCACCTTTAACATTTGACAGATTCTAAACTCAGTACGCATGCCAAGAAATTCTGCTCAGATTGAATCCTTAGTGGCTTTATTATCATCGTAGTGAAACATGGTTTCAGTGCACTATTTACATCTCACCGAGTTCCCTGAAGTATCTTTTAGTTGGCTTTATGATTCCTCCTAACCTCTCATTCCTTCCTAACATAATCTCCACATCACCGTCGGAAGCCCAACACGTCGTTTCCTATTTGGGTTCGACGCCGATGACCTCCTCTGCAAATGTCTCATGCATCTTCATGACCTGTATATTCTTGGTTGACTCGGTGCTATAATTCCTTGCTACTATTCCTTTCTAGTCATCTGATCTTCAGTGGAAAGCAAAGATGGCTGTTTATCTAATTGAATTTTAGATTTTCCCGTCGATGGATTGGACCGAAGTACTCAGTCTCAGGTTGACATGTCGACTTCTTGTGCAGATGCTTCGACAGTGTCTAAGCATGTAATTAGAAGTTAATTGGTGGATAGTGACTAACAGTGGAATCCAGAATGCGCATTTCGTCCTATTTGGGACTCGTCATCTGGATGTACATGCACTCCCCAGTGAGTGATGATTTCCCACCGAGGCTCGAACACAGTGCCATAGTTTCAAACACCATAGCGTTATCCATTAAACCATTTGGACCAATCAATAGGACCCATTGCACAAGAGGTGGCGTTTGAAACCATGGGCACTCGGTTCGAGCTTTGGCAGGAAATCATCACTCACTGGAGAGTGCAAGTACATCCAGGTGACGAATCCCGAACAGGACGAAGTTCGTATTTTGGATTCCACTGCTGGTCACCATCCGCTAATTAAAGATGGCTGTTGATGAAAGCCCTCGACAGACTGTTAGAAATGCTTTTGGTGAATCTGGTACTAAGTGTGTCCGAACCATGTAGTTGACACAATAACTGATTTCACATCAGTGTTAAAAATTCAAATCTTTTTCCTCATTTAAAGTGCGGCAGATTTTCACACTGATTTAAAAGTAATCATCAAGGTGTGTCTTCCATTTGCCATCCTCATCTGTGCCTGCTGTGGTTTAAAGGATGCTCTTTCTGTCAGTGAGAGATAGTGGTACTTGTTGATAGTTAGGTGTTTTCATCACCCTTGTCTTCTCTGTGTCTACTAGAATGAAGTCCAGTCTTTTCTGCTTCTGACGGTTTGTTGGCTGTCGCCTATAGATCTTCGAATTTACGTGGCAAAGTTCAGATCTTCCCCGAGTCTTCTGATCAGTCCAGCGTATTTCTGGCTTCCATCCACAGTCTGTTGACTGATCCACTTCACCATAAATGATATGATCGATGATAGTAGGCAACCTTGTCTTACTCCTACCTCCATTTTTCAAAGGCTCTACTGAAAGTCCCGTAGTGAGTCACTTGACATGTAGCATCACAGTATTTAGCTGTTGAATGAGGTTGGTAATAGTCTGATGTACTTTGTAGTGTTGTTAGTTTGACCTTTCATCTTTGCGATGGGTGTTTTACCTTCCTTTTAAACTTTTGCAGTAATGACGTAGTGATATCCTCCGAGATCTCAGGGTCCGTTTTCCTTGCTTCCGGCTGTCTTTCAGCATTGTTTTGGCACTCAAGACTTTCGCTTTCGTCGAAACATTGGTGTTTATTGATTGTACTGTGCGCGTTGTTGGTGATTTTTCTGCACGAGTTTTAGGCGGTATTCGTTTCAAGAGTCTTTTGGCGTATTTACAAAACGTGAATACGTCTCATATGTACTTCAAATCAATCATGGACCCTCTGCGCAATAATATATATAGTAATGCAATTCTCTGATGGATACCGCTGATTGACATCTTAGATGTAGCCCTCCCTAAATAGTTGTACAAACTAAAGTAAGTAACGTTAATACAGGATAAATCCACGCCACTTTCATTAGAAGAAATTGTCGATCGAGTTATTTGTTTGCTTTAGATCGTTATGCTCGTATTGGCGAATTTAAACGAATAGAAAGACTTAACGGTTCAACTTCGTCCAATGGTGAGGTCTCTTGGTTGTTTCGGTGTGTTAGTGTGCCGAATATACTCTATTGTATGTGATGTCACTCTAACTAAGCCTTTTTATCTTCAAAATATCTAGATAAAGTTGGCATATTAAGCTACTATGAAATGAATGCTACTCAACAATGACGAAATCTGTTTACCCAATATAATTACCGCGAGGGGTTTCGTCCTGATATATATGTTATAGTGCTATTAACGTGTTATTTGAAAGTAATTATTGGTAGATTATACTTAAAGAAGTATATTGCTCATACATACTTTCCCTGTACACATTTCTAGCTCTCTGGCCCAAAAGTATGGATATTAAATACAAACAACACCTGCCATCATCGTTCAAGGCACAAATACGTCAAAGCAACATAACTACAACGAAAGCCTCCGTGACTACTGATAAATCATGGCCTAATCCCCAACCTAATGGCTCTATAATCCTTCAAAACTTCTTAAATGCTGGACGCACACTGTTTTCAAAAGTAAGTTGGTTGGTATGCAGCCTGAATATTTGCTGTACTGACAGTTTCCAAACGCTGGATTAGGTCTTCTCATGATTATCAATTCCTGATAGAGGTTACCAATCACTTATTGTGATATATTCTAGAGTGTGTAGTGCTAGCCATCAACAACTGCTTGACAGTCAAACGTAGTTTTAAATTTCGATAAAAAAAACGAAAGACGTATATGAAATTATTTCATCATTTTATTTCACAGTTTCTTATCAGTTGCAAGCTACCTGAATCTATAATGGTTATATAAACGTGATGATAACATAATCCAATGTTTGAATGGGTAATAGAGAATATTATAGAAGGTTAACGCATCCAAAATGTAAGCATTACACTAATTTTGGTTTGAGTTGCCATCAATTTATATGCTTTTAAAATAGAAAACCAGTGGGGAGACAACAATACAGAAAACAGAAAAATCCATCGTACAGTGTCAGGTCATAGTTTATAAGATTGGAAACTTGCTCAGTGATCTGAAGTCACTAATACGAATGACAAACCCGTGTTGTCAAAATGGAGTTACCAGGACAGTGAGCGATTGTTGATCACATTCTCTTTCTGTATGCATAAGTTAAGTTTTAAAGGTGTGATTGCAATTGCTTCAGCAAATTTTCTGTCATTTGTATATTTAATATTTTTTGAAGCATTTAAAAATCTCGATGAAACTAGCCGTATCCACAAGGTGTGCCTGGTAATTGCACTTTGCGAATATCTGCATCCTTTTAGGCATAAGTTTGTTCTTTGTGCTCAGAAAAGCTGGCTGACTGGTTTCAACATACAACTTTGCTCCGATGTGCACCAGTTCAAGTCGCCACACTCCACTCCTTGTAGCACACAAAGTAACAGAAGGAACTAGAAGAAATGCATAATAGAGACAGTAAACAGAGGTGTGAGATGAAGGAATGGTAATAACGAAGAACAATATAGTTTCATTGGAAATCATAATTCATAAGGAGTGGATGCATCTGCACTATTGAGAACGATCACTTTGAGCCATATCACTAATTGTCTCCAGCCATTGGTTTTTACCGTCCGAAAACCCCAACCAGTCAGGAAGTCTACACCTTCCTACGTGGCTGACTTCAACTAACTGTTGTGGATTTCATTGAGTGATGAGGGCTTGTTTTGATTTGACCACTTTTCCAACCTGACCCTATGTCAGCTAACATTGCCCGTAGTCGAAGAAGGCAATGGATAGCTAGGCAGACGTCCTAACCATCTCGAAACAATTGCACAAGTCATACGGTTATGTCTTACAGTTTCTTCTACAAAAGCGTTTTTTGTATAACAACTGAGTTTGCTTCAAAGTTGTATCCCCGTAGAAACAGCTTTTGTATAACGCAGACATTTTCAGGGTAGTCAAATCAAAGCATGACATCAGTCCATGAAATCTTTGACCATTGATTCAACATGTGAACTTCGTTGGCAGCTGGGGTCTTCGAAACACTGAAAGCTAATGACTGGAGACTGTTGGTGATACAGCCCAAAGTCATGGCTGTATTCGCTCTCTGTTGTATCCCAGATCCATTAAATTCTCATCATTTCGCACATAATTATTATTCCTCCTTCACATATCCGTTCATTTTAGTATCTCTAATTTTCCCCCTCTACCTCATGTGTTATATCTAGTTTTGTAACTAGAACTTCTGTGCTTTTGTGCAAAGTTCTGCGTTGATTAAGACTCGGTCAGTGGGTTCTTAATTTATGATGAGAATTCTCTAAAGAAAATCTGTGTAAACCGGCGTCAATCATATTAGTGCAGTTATTTTTGTCATCATTTTGCAACTATGAATAACCTTTAGCGTTATCTTCATCCATTCATTTCCGTACTATTTTGCTCTCCTAATCTGTAAACCCCATAGCATTTGGAACTGACATTTGCCCGTAATACAGAACTTTCACAGGCCAGACAATTATAAGACATCTAAACGACAAATTTTATAACAATTATTGCATACTCTTCAAGAATTGCTTTTCGTTGCAACCTAGACGCCAGTTGAAGGCAGTTGTACTAAACATGAACCACAATTATTGATCGGTGGCTGGTAGTCATACTGCTTGATTCCAACAACTTCGATGAGGATGGGACTCATTTTTAACCTGTGTAACTAAAGGCAATTATTATTATTTTTATTATTATTCCCTTGAGCTCCTAATGGAACAAAGGGCTTCACCAACACATCTCTATTTTCTCCTATCTTCTCCGTTCTCTTCAGCCTCGACCACGATTGTCCACAATCTCTCATCTCCTACTCACACGATCTCCTCCATGTCACCCTCACACCGACGACCCACTCGTCGCTTCCCACTGGGATTCAACTTGAGCTATGACCTTCATTGTGCGCGATGTCATTCGACGGCCTCCTCAATGTATACCTGATCCACTTCCATTTTCTACTACATATTTGTTGAGTGATCGCCTCTTGGTTGGCTTGTTCCCAGAGTTTCTTTTTCCCAGTTCTTTCAGGCCATTTGATCTCCTGTATTGAGCCGGCCAGGGAAGTTGGCCACTGTTGATGAAAGTCTGCAACAATCTTTTGGAAATCCTTTTCTTGATGCGCAAGCTCAGTGCAAGTTTCTGACTCATATAGAAGGGCCGACTTGACATTGGTGTTGAAAATGCGAATCTTGTTCTTCATGTTGAGTGCAGAAGATTTCCAAACTTGTTTCAAATTGATGAAGGTGTATCTTGCCTTTCCGATTCTGGCTGGGCTGGCTTTGACATCTTCATCCATGCAGGTTGAAAAAGAGTAAGTGGTAGCCAGACAAAGACATGACATGAATCCGTGAAATCCTTGACATTTAAACTGAGTCAGGTAGGGAGATGCAGACTTCCGCGTTGGGGCTCTCAGGACTCTAAGAATCAATGGCTGGAGACAATGTCTCTGTCTGTCTGTCTGTCTGGATTCAACATAGAACTTGGCACCGAGGTGCTGGAGCTCGAGTTGCCACCTTCTAAATAGCACACAGAGGTAGACAAGAAGTTGAGTGAAGAGAATCAATAGAGTTTGACAAGTATAAGAGTGAAACAGAATGGGTAATGGTAGATAGGAATATGAAAGATTACAGAGATTGAATACATCTGCGCCATTGACAACGATTTTGACCCATGTCACCTATTGTCTCCAGCCATTGATTCCTAGAGTCCCGAGGGCCCCAACCCGGGAGTCTTCATCTCCCTACCTGACTCAGTTTAACTGTCAAGGATTTCATGGATTGATGCCATGTTTTTGTTTGGCCACCACTGGCTCTTAACCAGCCTGCACCCATATCAGCTAGCAATGCCCGTCGGGGGAGGCGGTGGTTAGGCATGCGCAGCACGTGACCTAGCCATCTTAGTCTGTGTAACTTTATAGCCTCGTCGATTGATTTTCCCTCTTTGCCCAACACTCTACGCCTAACGTCAACATTACTTATCTTGTGAAACCACCTAACTTGAGACAGAGATCGCAGACATCTATGATCGAAAGCAGTCAACCTTTTCATGTCTTCAACGCGTATTGGCCATGTTTCAGAGCCATAGAGAAGGACGGAGCGAACTGATGAGCAGTACACACGTCCCTTGGTTGATAGCCGGATGTCACGCCTACGCCAGAGATGGTGTAAGTCGGCGAAAGCAGCTCGAGCTTTTCGGATCCGTGCTGAGATTTCATCGCCAATCAGTCCGTTGGTGCTAATACAACTTCCCAAGTAGGTGAAGTGGTCAACATGTTCTTTCACAACTTGAGAAGTAATCACGACGAAAAATTTAACAAAATTATGCAATAACAACAAGATATAAAAAGGTGAAACACAATTAATGCAAACACAAATCGATATGACACACCACACGTATATACAAACTGTACAAATAACCTCGCCGATCATGTCTCGATGTAATTCCTTTCAAGAATTGCAGGACTTACACCAGTACGCCTGCAACCCTTCTCACGTTGACGATTGTAAGTTGTAGAATGTCCGGAGACAAAGAAGATAATCAACCAATTACAACAATTGGAACTCACACAATTACTTAACGCCAACATATGTACAATCAATACATCAAATGGCATGACAAACTACCCTTGAAGAACTGTAGGACTTACAGCAGTACGCTTCATTCCTTCTCAGGTTGATGATTCAAGTGGGAGTCGTCTGGACACAAACAAAATTACTAACAGGTAGATGAAAGATTATACCAATTCCGTATATACAACATGAACATATGTGCAAAATCACACACCAAGCACGTTGGACTGCTCATTGATGCGCTACCCTTTGAAGAATTGTAGGACTTACAGCAGTACGCCTACAACCCTTCTCAGGTTGACGCTCTAGGTTGGAAAATCGTCGAAGAGTTCATTTGCTGACTTCCTTCTATCAGCTATATCCTCAAATCTGAACGGTAACAGGCTCATGCCATTGTATCGTAGAATATAGATGACTACAAACACACGACGTATCTGATCAACCAAGCGTAGAAACAGAGTAATTTTCGCCAAAGATAATAGCATTCAAATATTAACTTGGAACTTGAAAAACCTTTATTTATGCAAGTCAATTTAACAATTACCCTCTCGTACACACTTGGCTTATCCTCTCTAAACTGAGCAATATCTTTCGTCCTTTCAAATTCACCAGTACTATCACAGTCATTGAAGAAGATACTTGAGTTGATGGGCGTCCTTCTCATTGTGGATGACAACACTAACGACAACTGATTGATACCAGTTGATGAAGTTAGCGATGGATCAGAAGCTGTTCTTGTTCGGCTTTTAGAAATTTGTCTACCTGCAAGACCACCACCACTGCTGTCTTTTACTATCAGCTCCGGTTTAGCACTAGCATCTGATGATAGATGGGCTACACGCTGATCAATTACGCTGACGGTCTCACAAGTATCCATACCTTCTGCGACTGCATCTGCATTTAATTCTACTTCACCTAAAAGTTGTACCGGACCCTTGTTCAACTCAGCAGTAGTAGGCATA